ATCTACTCTCGGTTGATCGGTTTTCACAAAATAATTTAAATAATATAGTTTGAAGTTAAAAAATGAATATTAGTAATTAAATTCTTACTAATTAAGATATTATACATATATAATGCTTCATGTTAACTACAAATATTTAAAAATGGTCTTTTATATAAATATGTCTAGCTGCTCGCTAGCGCCTGCTTGATTACCACGATTTTTTCCTAGGTGGCCATTATAGACGCTCGAAAGTTTAAATGAGGGCTATGAGATTATAAAGTTACTCACATGTAGACTCTAAAAGAAAAAAAAAATTATTAATATTCAAAATTATTTTTATATTAATCATTATTCTTTCGTTGATTTAATACATGCAGCATACACTACAAAAAAATTGTTATATTCCAACAGAAAATCCAACGGCAATATATTCCAATAGAAATTCCAACGGATATTCCAATGTGGAATGATTCCAACAAAAATTCCAACGAAAATATTGCGTTGGAATGAGTTTTCCATTGGAATTTTAGATGAAGGCCTTGAATCGGCCAGTGGTTTTACCTAGGCCGGTTCGGGTTCAAACATTTATGGAGTTTGGATCGTCTGTTCGACTTTATTTTTTTTAATTTTTTTTATTATTATTTTTTAATTAGTTTGAAACTGGGTTTTGGCCGTCTATATCTTACATCTATATGTTTGATTTACATGCACAAATCCTTTTTTTTTTTCTTTTATTTACTTGGTATAGCTTTTGCAGTTGATTTGAATAGAATTTTGTTTCCTTTAGAGGCAAAGACATTAATGTGTATCAATCTTATTAATTCGTGATAAAATAATAAGACCAGTAATATAGAAATTGAGAGTAATGTCCTTTTACAACGCATTATTTAAATAACAAGTCGTTTAGCAAATGTATATTAACTTCTATACTAATCTACAGTTTGAACCTTTTTAATGGACATGTACCAAAGTAAATGCTCACCAAACTTTCATTTTTATGTCACACACCATCAAATAATGTGAGGTAAAAAGGAAGTTACTCTCTTTTTCTATATTACGGGCCATACTTTATAAAGAATCAATGAAGATTGGTACAAAATTAATAATCTATTTGTTCTTCCATTCACAAGAAATTAATCAGAATGGTCTATAAAACACAGTTAAAATCAGCAACGTAAGTATCAAAACATGAAGAAGAATATGAACACCATCACCGTTGTTTTTGCTCTCTTGTTGTGGGGTACTTTGCTTCTCTCTCTCTTTCATGCACACACTCACACTATAAGAGCCTTTGGCACAACAAAATTTAATCCACGAGGCTGCCTAACAATAAAGATGGCCGACCAGTCATACTCATATAATAAAAATGTGCATGCTCATACTAACATACTTTTACTTATTGTTTTGTCGAGTATGACATTTCAGTTTAAAACTTTTATATATCCCTTGAGAAAAATATGGTCATCTACCCATTAAACATGTCTAACAGCGGTACTGCACATAACATATCATCGTTTTGTAACACATCACTTTTAAATAGGAATTACTCAGGTTTCATTCTTTACAAAAAAACACGTTCACGCCGTTGATTAATAACATAACTAGACAAACAATTGACTTTGTTAGAGATATAATAATTCTGAAAATCAATCAACCACATATAGACATACAATTAATTTACAAATGTATTTAAACAGGAGCTATAATAGGGAGGTTGGAGCACGTTGAGGGAGCTAGATACTGCTTAAGTAGATTCAGAAGCATGTCGTGGAGGACTGAGCCACTCAAATGTGAACCAATCGACTGTGCCCTACGTTGCATGAAAGATGGCGACGCTGAGGACTCCGAATGCACCGAAGTCTATTTGAATAGAAGTACTTGCTATTGTTTGTCCAGTTGTCAAAACACCACGGATCTTGAGCCGCCGGCCACGGAGCCTGAGCCGCCAACTACGGAGCCTGATCAGCCGCCTGCAAACACGGAGCCACAATCAACGATGTAGTTTTTTATTGTGGAGAGGAAAATCATGTGGAAATTCATAATCGAGCAGTTTGGCTACCTTAGCCAATCATATATAGATTTATAAATTGAGAATACTATTTTCATATTCCATGTTGTTAAAGTTTAAATGAAATTGTAGTTGAAAAAGTGCTAGGGAGTATGTAGACCAACACAAATGAGTAAGAACACAGAAATTAAAAGTAGAAGCGACTATATATATAAATTGATTGATCAGGTCATCATGTTAAAAGGGTCAACCTAATTGGATGAGCATAAATGAGTAAGAAACAAGGGATAAAGGAACTAGAAGCGACTATATATATAAATTTATTGATCAGGTCATCATGTTTAAAGGGTCAACCTAATTGCTGATGCGAACAAGAAAGCTAGAACTAGGAGCTGGAGACATAAAGTTAAGGGTAAGTTAAAACACTTCTTGGGGAAGTGTTACACTGATGTTCTACCAGTCAATCAGAAGCTTTTGCAGAGGGGAATAGCTGTTGATCCAATATGTCATATTTGTGGTGAAGCCGAGGAGACTATTGAATTTGAACTTGGTATATCTTTTTCAGTGGTGATATAGGGTGCTGGAATCATGGTGATGAAAGTATTCAACCTGTTTTCCCGTGCTCGATTTGATTCTGGATTTTCCCAGTGCTTAGCATTGAAATAATTGGAGCATGCATTTTTCTGTACTTGGACACACTTTCGAACGATAAACGAGTCATCTCTCGATAATACGCTCCTCGATAGTTTTGCATTCAAATAGTTCTCACGAACTGTAGTTTCTTGCCGAGCTCCTGCCACTTGTATGCATTCCATTCTTGATTGAAACATTTCAAAATTGGTCACTGATTGGATTTTTTTTCACTCGAAAAAGGTCGTTTCGGTTCGACAAAATGTATCTTTCTTCAACTTGTGTTTGCAGATTGTCCATAAAGAAAATTGAAGAATAGGCAACGGAAGGAAGGCATCATCATCACAAGGTGCACAAGTTTAGAAGGGTTTTGAACTTTTGACATTATCAAATAAACCAAACCCAGATCTCTTGTCTCCACAAAAATGAAAACTATAAAACAAAGAAGTAAATAATTCATATTCATACTGTTTTTCTCCATTTACCCATATGGACTCTATCTCTCAATCTCCAAGGGCACCGACAGTGATCCTCGGGCCACACGCTAATGCAACCGGAAGGAAAAGCATGTACACAATAAGGGAGCACGGATATTTGAACACCTATACTCGTTGACCTTAAGCACATACGACAAGCTTGCATAAGAGCCAAGTCTCATATGATCCCACTTTATTATTTCCTATATATAATTTTTGAATAAGTTGTGATAGAGTGGTAGACTCTCATGTTTCGAAATCTTGTAGGGAAAAAAATCATACTTCGAAGTAATCTTGTTTAGGATTCGAAATAATATTATAAATTCTTACTTTCTTATTATTAATTATTTATANCAATAAAGAAAAGAAAAGCAAAAATTAAGAACATGCACAGACGAGGACTAATTAATTCTACAATTAAATTAATTTGTTATTATAATATAAATAGTGTACAAAACTAACTTTAATTAATACTAAAATTAATTAACATCTAATAACAATGTATAATATTAAAATTAAGTGTAGACATTTTAATTTATATAAATAAATTAATAAAAATATATTAATTTTTTTTTAAAATGGCATAAACCGGTATTTTGACCGATATTTGGCTGGTATTTGCCGGTAAAACCGTATTTTTCAATATTTTGGTCAAAACAGTATTTAGAGTGTAACTGTAAGGGTCGGATACGGTATTTAAAACATTGACGGATAATTACATTCCATATTTAAATCGTAATTAATAAACCTATAAAATCTGGTATATGAGCAAATATGTTTAGATTGTATAGCATCTGTGCCCATAAATATTAATTAGGTATAGTATGTAGTACAAATTTTTCAAATAAAAAATGGTGATTTTCAAAATTAGAAAGTCAACCACGTCCAACACTTCACGTCAATTAATCTGACGGAATTACTCTCTAAATTGAAAACTCTTTCGCATCCTCAAGAGCAGGATGAATGCGGAATTACTCTCTAATTGAAAACTTTTCGGATCCTCAAGAGCAGGATGAATGCGGAATTACTCTCTAATTGAAAACTCTTGGGATCCTCAATACGGAATTACTCTCTAAATTGAAAACTCCTTCGGATCCTCAAGAGCAGAATGAATGCGGAATTACTCAAAACTTTTGGGATCCTCAAGAGCAGGATGAATACGGAATTACTCTCTAAATTGAAAACTCCTTCGGATCCTCAACAACAGGATGACCTTTGAGGGGAACATACTTCAAGGAAATCGTCCAATCACAGAACTTCTTACAAGGCTACATATGTAAATATGTACTTTTTATTTATGAATGTATTATAATTATATTTTATATTTTTAATACTAAAATAATTCATATGAATAAAAATTTACCAAAATTGTTTTCAACATAATACATATATTCATTTAACAAATTTATTTATAATAGAAAAAACAATATGTGATAAACTATTGGACGAACCAGATTAACACAAGAAATTTATTTCAATGACTTGTATTATAAATTGAAATTTCTCTTATATCTTAGTTAATATTTTAGTAAATACTTGATACATGTTTTAGTAAATAATATAATCTTTATATACATATTGTTGTACTATTTATATTTTATTAATTATATAATCATAATAGTTTAAATAATTATATATGTGTAAAACAATATATCTAATTAAACTATATTTGTGATATTAAATTAATTTAAAATAATGATAATAAAAAAAATATTTTGTGAAATAAAATATAGTGTGAACGGTTGAAGACTAAACTTGATTTTTGCTAGTAGAGATAAGAGTGGGAGATGAACTTAGCATCAAACTAACTTTTGTTTTTCAAAATTTAGCCATTTGTTTTATTAGAAATACTGTTTTAATTTTGTAGCTCTATTTTCTATAGTAATTTCATCTTACGAAAATCGGGAGGAGCTCGAGAAGATTCATGTGGACACGACAGCACAGGAAGTTTTGCAGGCCCTTGCTAAAGACAGTAATTTCTTTATCATTTACTTTTTTTTCAAGATTCTTGATAACTTTTCCTGGTAAAATAGTGAACTTTATGGTCTCATCTGAAACCCAAAAAACTGAAGTAGTTTTCTTGATTGTTCTCACTTTTTTTTCTTTTTGTTGGGGATAAATCTTGTTGTAGCTTTGATATCGTTGAGTTTCTCATATTCGGTTTTTGTTCAATTCCTATTCACTCGTTTTTTT